ACACAGAATTCTTTTGACTTGGAGTTTAATGACCCTCCACTCCAGCAGGACCTACGTGTCCCGAAAGATAAGGGCAGGGATGGAAAGGCACCATTTACGCCAGCCAGCTTCCTGCTGCATAAGCTGTAGATTGGTGGCAAGACCTGGATTATAGTGAATCACCAAAAAACAGGTCTGCTCTTTAGAGTGCTATCCCCTTCTCAGCAAGATACCGTATCTCTCGTATCTCTCGATGTCAGCAGAGCAGGGTCTGTGAGAGAATCTGTGCTGAACTTGGAAGAGGAAGGAAGTTGTGATTGCAGGAGAAAGTTCTCTGTAAGCCTGAGGCACCATTTCTGTATAGAGCTTAGAGCACAGTGAATGTTGAGTGTCATGGGCAAAAGACTTAATAGGATTAGAAAGATGGAATGGATTTTAGGAAAAGTATCTAAATGAGGACGTTGTAAAGAGAAAGACATAAATATATGCAAGAGTCTTCAGACCATTAAAGTAGTCATAACCGTTCCCTAACCATCTTTTTTTTTTTTTTTTTTGAGATATAAATGACTTGTAACATTACATGACTTTTGGGTGTACAACATAATGAGTCAATATATGTGTCAACCTGACCATCTTGATGCAACGCAAAATAGTTAAACCTGAGTGGCCTTGCACTTAGTAGGCTAAGAAAATACTCCCTAGAATAAAGGCTTAATTTGGAAAAGTTCCCCTAATTCTCATTTGCTAAGTAGACTAGGGAGGTTTTCCCTAGAAGAACTTCTAAGGAAAATGCATGGTGCCATTTGTAAGCCATGACTAAATTATCTGTTTCTATGAGACACAGGCAGGCATCTGACATATCCCTCTGCCTTCCAACATGACCTGACTTGAGCCATCTCCAACAGACAGAGGGATATATTTTCTATTTGTGAATACTCTTATTGATTTAGAAATGCTCACTAATTTTGGGAAGGAATCACAATGAAGAAACCTTACTAGATTAGTTCCAGCGCTACCTACTCACCTTAAATACCTCCTAAACGTTCTGTACTTAAAAATTTTACCCCAGGAGAAATGAGACCTAGTGGGGGTTGAGTCACAGCAAAAAAGCAAAACTTTAGTTATCAATTCCTGCCTTTGAAGATAAGGGAAAGGAATGTTTTCCTTTGAATATTATGGAGGAGATAGGACAAATACCACCCAGGAGCAGACTCAGCTCTGATAGGCTACTAAAATGAAAAGGAAAATAGGAATCTGTGGATTTTCCCTGAGATGTGGTTTAAAGCCCCTATATGTGCTAGAGGTGATCTGGCTTGAGAGTCTGGAAGGCATTACATGGCCTCTGCCTCTGATTCCACTGGGTAGAAGCTTGCTCTCCCCATCAAAGGTTCCGCCTCCTTTAGCAACGGCAACTCAGAACTTCCCAACAACTAGACTCCATGCAAAAGAACAGGTTGGATGAGGACTAAAAAATTAAAAATAATTGATGAGTTCATGTGAGATATCTTTGACCACTAGATGCCATCATTCAATCCTAGCCCAATATTTAGAGCTTCTTCTTTAAATTGTAAATCTACATATTTTGGAGCAGGGCCTTGGAAAATGACTAAAAATCTCTGGAACAAATTCCCAGAAAAGCCTCAGAAGTCTGAAGTCAGAAATATATGTCAGGCAACTGTTTCAGTGAGGGCTGCCCAGTGGGAACTACAGATTAAGATCCTCTCCATACAAGTATATTATTTCCATGATTAACAACCAGTTACCACTGAGCCCTCAGACACTGCAAACCAAGATGGTTGTAGAATCTTTGTTTCCATTTATCTCCAACTGGAGGGGCACCCTTCCAGGAGGAGCAGTGGGGCTGTTTATATACCCCAATCTCAAAGCAGTCCAGACAAGCTTCTCATAGTCTGTTGAAAAACAGGGGTCCAATGGGTAAAGCAATTTCTTTTCAAATTAAAAGATGCAGAGGTTACTAAATCTGAACAGGCGCCCACATTTTCTTTTTGGGAGTGGAACCAAAGGATGATTCAGATGGAGAGACAGGCAGCAGGGTCTAGGGAATGAAGAGTCATGAGATTCCAGTTTTATTCCTGGCTCTGCCCAAGACTTGCCATGTGACCACCAGCAAACTACTCAGCGGGTCTCTCAGTTTTCCCTTCTCTAAAAGAATACAGTCTTATCCCTGTCCTGTAATTTACTCTGTCATTTCCTTGCAAAAAGGGAAAAGAAGGGAATATATGAGGTATGGCGAAGGGCTGGCTAAAGGGTGTGCTAAGCTCTTAAGACCTGGACACCAAGCAGGTACAAGTATCCCTCATTTTCAATAAAGCAACTTGGCAGTATTTCTGATCTAGACAACTGATGAAGCAGAACATCAGCCTGACTTTACACAACCTGAAGTTTAACAATTAAGCAATTCAGGTTAAAGGACATCATAGGTTAGATGGCATCACCTACTAGAAAAGCATAAGCCCACAATATAGCTCCAACAAGAAGTGTGTTAATACCCACAAAATAAATCAAAGGATATCTGTAAGTTGGGAGATCTTTAAGAACTAGACATTCTTACTAAGGGAGAGGCAGCAGGCAATGAATGAAAGTAGGAAAGATACCTCACCTGCAATAGCCAGAATGCTCAAGGTTTGGTCACTAAACACTTTTTTGTAATCTCAAGTTTATAAAGATTTCAGCTTCTTATAATGGAGGCTATTATTTTCTTTGAAAACAATTCCAATTTTAGAATAGACAAGTCAGTGAGATGTGAAATTTTCTTTACCAAGTTACATTTTAGCATCATTTTGTTTTGCTGGAATATACCCATTCCCTGAAGTGCAAAACATCTAAGACCTAGTAGTACTCCAATACAATGACAACTCACATCCAAGATTAATGAATGACAGGCCAGCAGCAAAGTTCCCTCTATTTCATATAAACACAGCTTAGTGTTGCAACTGAGTAACATCTACATTGAGAGTAATCAGATACATATTAATCAGATGCTTAGTAGTTTGGGGGCCCTTGCATTTGTCAAGGAAAGGGTCCATCCTTATACACAAATAACTGAGAACTTCACCCTACCACATACCGACATTCCAGAACCTAGCCAGTAGGAGCCAGGGCAGAGCTCTTGGCCTACCATAAACTGTAAATGGTCCTTGGATCCCATCCTGTGCCAGGCACCTCAAGATTGCTTCTATTCAAAAATCAATCTGCAAAATAAATCCAACAAGAGGCATAGCCCTCAAGATTCATTTTTTTGCCTGAGAGGACCAACTTCCCACTGAGCATGGGGAGACAAGGACCATTCTGATTTCAACATCCTTGGAGTACCTTAAAATATCTGGAATCATTTTCTAGCCCTTCCAAAATAGAGCTTTAAAGCCCTGTAAGAGCAGGACTATATATACATATATGTGTGTGTGTGTGTGTGTGTGTACATACACATATGTAAGTGTATATATATATATATATATATATATATATATATATATATATATATA